TAGCGTTTCTCTATATAACACATCAGCAGTTGCTGAATTACAGTTTCTCATCTGCTATCTCTTCCTTCTTGCTGTGAAGCCGTCAAATATAATTCAAAGCAGGATGGTTGAGATTGATTTAATTACATAGCTTAGGGAGTGTTTTGGGGGGGAAGGGAGAAATTGGTGATGTTTTGATCTTTGGACACTTTGAAATGCAGCATAAAACCTCCTATGAGCTCTATTTGTTGTTTGTGTGCGATCACTGGATGTTGTGCTTCCTTTTGTTAAAAGCAAGAGGGGAACCCTGCCAGAATGTCATTCTTTGTGTGCCACAGCTTTTGAAGACAGACTTAAGAAACTGAGACAATCAGCCCCAGAAAGACATTTTATATCTGCATGGGAGTTCTTTCTGTCACGGTCAGACACTGCATGGGAGCTTTTCAGATGGTCTTTTCTCTCACTTTCGGGATCAATAACTGTCAAAGTTTGACTCAGACTCACAATTTATCAGACCACTCTGTTTCATTAGCAAAGCTGCTCTGCTAATACATTTAGAAGTGAGCCCCCCGAGTGGGGCTTGTCTCTCTTAATTTATACAGTTTTTGGAGAACAAGTTACAGAGAAGTTACAGACAAAAGAAGAAAAAAGATTTTAGTCACCACCCTTCGAGATCCCTGAGACCAGTCACCTATCTTCAATTACCTGCCACCCTTAACAATCTCCTTTAACAGCTTCCAGTTAACTTAACTAATTGCCCTTCACACCTTCCATTCTGATGCCTGCTTCTTAGACGTGCTGGCTCTAACTGTCCCTACGTGTGCTCCCTCAGATACTTTGTAACATGTTTTGGCATGCCCTCTCATATACAATGTATCCAGCATGTCCCCTTATACAACGCTATACTTATACAATGTTATACTTCCACATAACTAACAGTTGAAATTTGGAACTTATGTTAGCAAGAACCAAAGCTAAATGAGTCTAGAAACCAGAATGCTTGGGAACACAGTGTTTAGTAAAAACATGCCTACCCAATTATATGCAACTAGCAATCAGCTTTATCCAGTAGCATCAGATATGGTTAACTGTTTATTATGTTCATAATATTAGGTGCCAGAATCTCCCACTATTTGCATTTAATAGTACATTACTCCATAAGCAGTCTCACTGAGTTCAAAGGGATTACCCATGGAGTAAGGTGCTACTCAAAGTAATGAAGAATTTGGCCCTAAATATCTTTTGGAGGGGAGACTGGTAGAGGCAGAAGAATATGGTGGTATATTATAGACTGATGCAGTGAAAGCATCATATTTGGTAATCACAAACCAGAATGTAATTCTAATAGTCCGCCCCAGCTGTATTTCTTCTGTCAAAATCTTTAAATAGATTGTTTAGACCAGCTGGCTACCGTGACTGAATTGTTTTGGGATTAGATATCTTTCCCTGAAGAACCCACAACTAGGAGGTCATTTTTGAAAATCAGCCCTAAATCTCCTATATACCTATAGATAGAAATGAGGATAGACTCAATAATATCTGGTTAATGTGTTATGAAAAGTGATAATTAGTGACTCGTGAATTATCTTCATATCCATCATACTGAAGATAGGGGTGAGCTGAACTGCTGCTAGAACTGTTGTGCTATAGCTGTGTGACTTGAAGAGTTGCTGTATTTTACCCCAGAGAGAGCTGCGATTCACTAGTTCCCAAAATGATTTCTATACAGACAATCAACTAATAAAGTTGTGCAACAAGAAAGAAAAAAAAAAACACCGCAATTAAGCCTTTGAGAATAAATAGGATAAAGGTAAGTTTTACCACTGATCACTGTTGAATAATGGTTAGAAATAAGTATCTTGAAACTGGAAACAACTGGCAAATGTGTTTTGTCCCTCATTACGGCGTGATAGTGTGGCATAAACATGTACAAACGTTTTGTATGCTGTTGTGTCCTGGGATCCTGATTGCCTTTTTGTCGCTTTTCATATATTGTAGGACACGATATAAGGTATTCATCATATGGGCAGCGTACCACTCTTTGCTGCTATCTAGCACCACAGACTAACTACTCTTGTCAACCATGCCAATGCTAACGGCCAGCTTTTAAAAAATATATAGGTACCTTCAGCCTGGTCAACACTGGAAAATTAAGTCAGTTTAACTATGTCGCTCCAGGGTATGCAAAATCTACCCCCCGGGTGGCGTACTTAGGTTGACCTAACTCCCAGTGTAGATAACGTTAGGTCAACAGAAGCTACCGCCTCTCAGGGAGGTGACTTACCTACACCGGTGCGAGAACCCCTCCAACAGGCATAGGTAGTGTCTACACTGATGCAGCCGCTCTAGCATTTGTGTGCTAGCATTTCAAGTATAGACAAGCCTTAAGTATGCAAATTGGAGGCTAGTGAGACTTCTGAAAAGTGCCGTGGCAAGTTAGGTTCCTGTCTCCCATTAATTTGAAGGGTACTTGGGAAAATTCCACGAAGCGCCTATCTGTGACTCCAGGTGCCTAAATACCTTTGAAAATTTGGCCCTAAGAGCTTGTCTACATTAGGGATTTTTGTTACACTGGTTCAAACTCCCGTTTTCAGACTGGAATAAGTCGCACCAGCGTAGCACATATAACAATGCATGCCTTCAGCGTATAGCTGTATCAGTGTAGCTTCATGGATGAAAAAATCCCATCAGAGATTCCGAGAGAGCACCCTGTGAGAATATGGCCCACCTTAATGCATGTCAGAGCTTCCCCAGATGCTTCTCACTGTTGATATGTGGCAATTGTGTTGAATACATCAAGGAACCTATCAGATGACTTGTCCTGTGATGGGTAGGTGCAGTGGCATGTTGTTCTAGTGTCATGGTATAGCTCGTGGTGGCCTTTGTTTCTGGAGAGATTAAATGAGCTCTAACAGGCATATGAAAGCAGCTTTCCAATTAACATGTCAATGACTTACAGTATACGGGTTAGATTTTTTTTGGTAGGGTCATGAGCTTCAGCCTGAAAATCCAAATACCCCAAAAGATTGAAAGCTATAACAAGATGATGTACATATATCCCAATAAAAAAAACTGGAATAATCCAGTGTAAAAAAACAAGTTATATCAGCTGATTTATACTACCATAGATTATCTCAGCTGAGTGGGAGGGGAAAAGTTAACACTTAATTTTCCATTACTCCTTACATCTTAGTCTTGTAAACAGCAAATGCTTTATTATAGTCAAGAATTGTACTTGCCAGACAGATGTTAAAATTAATGATCTTATTGTAGGTGAAACTCAACAGCTGCTTCCTGTGGTGTTGGGATGCATTGCGTGGCTGCACAAGGGCTAACTATTCTGAGCATGCATGAATACTGCTCTTCCTGCCAGGCACTCTTGTTTCTTTGCTCCGTCCTGCATCTCTTGGTGATGGTGAAGCTCCTGAGGAAGCGATGGCATGTTTGTGTCAGGGAGCATAGCACAAGTCAGTGAATGTTAGAGGGTGCTATTAGTTGGCTGTCACTGGCATTTCAGTTCAGTAACCTGTGACAGATGTGAGACCTTGGAAGTGTAGAAACTTCAAAAGACTACTACACTGAGATTTGCCAGACACTATGGGCCCAAGGAATATTCATAAACTTTCATATATATACGTGTTATATCTGCCTTTGGGAGGTAGGAATTGATTTGAGCTCCATGGTAGGGGAGGATGTCTGAGCTTTTCCAGGAGCTCAAATCAGATGAGTGGGTAATTACTGCAGATACTGGCTTCAAGAGGCTCAGGAGATAAAGAACCTTTTGGTATAAAGAGTCAGCCTGAACTGACTCAGGAACCTTATTGGATCTGCAAATTAATAGGAAACTAACTCAGAGGGCAAAACATGGCTAGAAGTGTTTGAAGGACTGAAAATCTGCCAGGGTCTCCATGGGGAAGATGGGAGGCACCTGGTATGTATGGCATGCATGTAGACTCTTTCTTGTTTTATTCTTTGTTCTCTCTCTAATGCTTTTGATCCTAAAATACACATACTGTGCTTTGCAAAAGCAGGTTGGTCACTGGTAAACACAGTCATTGTTCCTGAGAGAGCGTGAACCACAGGTGTTAGATTATGGTCAGACCTGTGGGGATAGTCACAGTGGATTTACAGACCTAAATCCCCAATCTGGATGGACAGGGATGTGGGTCCTCATCCATACAGAGGTAACATCTGGAGGCCTGAGACCTAAGAGATGCCCTTAAGCAGACCCAGGAGGTGGCAGGGGGGCAGTTAACTCTGGAACTGGGACAGAACCCATTTTAGGTGACAGGTGCTGTGAATTTAATGTTCTCAGCTTTCTCTAAAGTAGATGTTTTTCTTCTAATTTGCCAATTGCAGCAGCACATGCCAAAATATTTTAATGAGAGCTAAGGAATGGAAAGCGTGTTGTAGATCAGGGCTGGAAATGCTGAGCAGAGAATCCCACTTACCTGTCTTTGATGAGGGCTGTTTCTACTTAGGGCTATCACTCTTCCCTTTAAGAATACTTAAATATAAAACAGATTAAGATAATTTTGTTTTTCAAGATTGGGAGGAAAATAAGCATCTGAGATCATTTGGTGCCTGGCCAGAAACCTAATTTGGCATTCCATTCCACTTCCTGATTGGCAGTGCTGGTGTAATTGTGACACTAGGGGCTGAGAAATATGAAGTAGAGAATAGGATGTTCTTATCAGTGAAGAACTGTTAGTTTCTTTGGCTCTGAATACATGAAACAACATTCAGGTTAGTACTGCACAGCAGTGCTTCACAGTTTCCACAGCCTAAGTTCCAGTAGTCTGATTCCTCAGATATTCTGTAGTCTTGACATGTGCATCCTTGAAACATTGTTTTTTGTGTAATATCCACTTACATTGTATGTCATATGGTCGTAAAGGTGTTCAAGGTCTTGCACATCATTAATATGACTGAACTGTATCTTCCTTGCTGGAAGACCAGCTTGTTTCATACCTGAAGGCTTTTGATCTTCTTACTAAATACTAATAAAAATGGTAACTTACTGCATCTGTGTTGCTTTTGGTTCTCCTCCTTCTCTTTCTTTTTCTCCACTGCATCACTTTATGTATCTTTCAGCATCTGATTCCCTCGTCTTTTATAATGTGGTAGATCCTCATTGCACTTAAAGAACACGCACTACACAGGGTCGGGGAGGAGGGAAGGAGCCAGGAGATGATCAAAGGGGACAGAGTGAGATTTGGGCCCCATGCCAATTTTTTAAAAATACATTCTCCCTCCCCCACCCCTTTTAAAACTCACCTTTCGCTCCTTAGGCAATGCTCTCCCCTTCTTTCCTCATTCCCTTTCAGTCTGTACTTTCTCTTCATCACCGTCTCTTTCTGTAATGGGTGTGTTTTCTCCCAGGCCAGTGCCTCCTCCTGTTGGAACCTGCAGTGAGGTAGGACTTGTTTGCTTATGACATAAATCCATTATTTTGGAAATAATTCTGAAGTCAGAGTCCTATATTACAACATCAGCATCAGAGCACAAAGCAGAGATGATGGGGTGTGAGGAAGGGAGCCCTGGCTTAAAGATAAATTGGGTCTGACTTTCACAATTGCTGGGCATCCAAATCTCCAGATGAAGTCAATGGGGGCTGTAGGTGCTCAGCATTTTTGAAAATCAGACAAGACTATCATTGGTAATTATCAAGTATGGGGCCAAATTCTAAGGAGGGATTGCTGTCAAAGGAGGGGAGCTGCAGGATTTCATCCCTGGCAACTGCATCTGTATTTCCCTTCAGTGGTCCAGCAAGGGAAGACATGCTCAGGTTTCCAGATCCCCTGCTGTTGCTTCTCTTGGGTGGAATCTGCCTCCTAAACCCCCCCCCCCCCCATTCTGACTGGGATAATTTTCCAGGTTGGACAGTTCCAGGCCTTCACTGTGCAATTCCCAGCACAGACAGGTTGCCCTAAAACACTGACTTTTTCTTCAGAGACAGATAATAGTGTAATTACTACAGATATAACTCAGCACCCAGCTCTTTCTAAGCAAGCACATTTTATTTTTAAGGTAAAAGCATTACAGAGAAAACAATAAAAGAACCCACACACATGCTAATAAGCTTATCAGAGTGCATCCCAACTCTCTCATGGGCTCTGGCACATGCAGTGTTTTAAAACCCCACTCTAACGGCCTCTTTGTGGTTGCAAGTTAATCAGAGTTTCACCTCAGAACAAGCACCCAGTCTTATGAAGCCCCAGTAGGACAAGTCCTTCCAATACTCCCTTAAAGATGGGGGCCATCTGTGGACCAGAGGTCCTGTCCATTTGCTGGAGCAGGAAGAAAGCCCTAAGGCAGGTTAAATCCCAAGTTTTTATCCAGTTTGAAATTGTGTGTGTGTGTATTTCTCTCTGGGGGGGGACGGGGATGGGGGGACTTCAGAGGGTTGATAATGGAGAAAATACATTAGCATTGCCCCTTCCTATTAAAGAATGTATGTACAATGCCACAGCAACACATACACAGTTGCATTTTAATACAATGTACCCCAAATGTCAACCCTAATTCAGTAAAATTTACCTTAATTTAATAACACTTCGCTTAATTCCGTAAGGTTTGTTCAGTATATTACAGGATATTGTCAGTCTGTCACACGCTCCATCTACCTTTCAGTCACTTTTAAGTTTTCAGTGAGAAATATATAAAGGTTTTCTTCAGTGTCATAAACCTTCCAAATTTCACAAGGAGAATATCTTCTGCCATGCCTTCCACTGCATACTAATTCTGTTTGAGGCCTCAGGATTTGAGTAATGGCTTAATACCTGGACTCTACTTGATTAAAACATTGCACACATGAGCTTATTTCCAGCAAGATGAAATACATTAGCAGCATTGTTCTGCGTGTACTGTCTCTTGACAATATGTTCTCCCTGCCTCATTTGTTATAGTCCTAGGATGCAGGTAGGCATTTTAAAGATAGCCAACACATTACAAAAAAAAAGTTCATCCAACCTGACTTTGGCTCCGCTGAGCTCTGCAGAGCATGTTCAGATTTGGCCAGTCTGATACCCTATGGATAGACCTTTGATATGAACATGACTCTCGCTTTTTTTAAAGCTAGGGCTCAACCCTAGAAGGGCTGAACATCGTCTGTGAGGCGCTGAGCACCTTCAAACTCCATTTCAAGACAATGCTCTCAGTCTTGCTCCCAACTGGAGTTTTACCAGTGGCATCAGTGGGAGCAGGGCCAGGCCCCATGGGAGATGAAGTGCTTGGCATCTTGCGTGACTGGCTAAAGAGAGTGACTAACCCCCTACCTGCCAGATTATGGTGACATTGACAGGGCACTGTAGGGGAGCTTGTAGCTGCCAGTGCTGTTCCTTTTTGGTGGACAAAAAGAAGACACTGGCTCTTGAGTGCTGTCAAACTTTTCATGAGCAGAAAGGGCCCCTCCCCAAATATTTTGAAATAAAAAAGAAAATGGAAAAAGATGCCTGGACCTGCTACATTACAAATGGTTGGTCTCACTCCGGATCTCCCATTGTTCAGTGATGTCAGGGTGGGGTAGCTTACACATGTCCCCATGATCAGGGCTGTGTCTGAAGACACACTCTAGCCCACAGAGAGTTGTCTCGGGAAGACAGAAAAAATACAAAGTTATTCAGACATTGAGAATAAAATCAAAGGATATACCAACAAATTGCAGAAATCTAGCCTGAGTGTATTTCATTTAGGTGTAAGACTAAAACAATTACCGGTAAATTGACTTTCATCGTCACAGCTCTACTGTCGACTCTGAAAAACACGCACACTACTTCAGAGAGTAAGAGCCAAATGTCACCTTTCACCAGGTGTTTCCAGTCCATCTGCACTGCAGGGCAGAAAGCTTGGGTTTCAAGTCACCGTTGGACAGACCTGGGAATACAATCTACAGATTTTGTAGACAATGCTGATTTCAAATGTGGGAGCCTCCCATATTTGGATGTCTGGATACACGTGAGGTGTACAAATTGGTCACTTACACACCTCAGTGTTGGTCTGAACATCCAAAGATAGGGTTTGGATGGTTTCAGACACCCAGGTTTCCAAATTGGAGTTCCCAATTATTTTAAGAACCTTCAGATTTTAATTTTAATGAGGCTGCCAAAGAATTTTCAGTCTGGTGCACTAGAGTGCTGGAGAGCCCAGGAACTGCACTGCAGAATGCATGGGGCTTTGATCTCGTGCAGCAAAAAGAAAGAGTCAGTAGGTAGACGTTGCTATTTCTGGGAAGTGAGAGCGGGCAACTAGTGGCAGGTCCATGTGGAGGGAAAAACTAGCAACCACCCAGGCCATTCAGAACTGTACAAGACAACACTATTAATAATGTGCTTCAGAATACTGGGGATTCCATTATGCCATCTGACTATTCACATAGGGTCAAATTCTATTACCTTTACTTATGCTGAATAGTACTCACGATGATTCTGTCACTTTCACTCTCTGCGAGTGGCCCTGTTAATTTAGCATTATTTTAGATATTGAGATGTAAAAAGGAACCTCCAAGATACTGACCTCAGTGCATAATTTCTGATTTTCACCAGTGTATAGATCAGGAAAAGGCTCTCTGTCCCTTTCTATAATAAAGCTGTGGAGAACTTGCAGGATTTTAATTCAAAAGTTCCGTCTGTGTTAAGCCAAAAATGACTGATCTTCTTCAGTTTTAACTCAGGTGAATAATATTTAGGCTGTCATTATCTATCGCATGCATTTCAAAGATAAAGTTCATTAGATACCAGAAGAAGGGAAATCTTTTGTACCTTTCTTTTTGAAAGGAATACTATTTAAGTTGTTTTTCATTTCCTTATAAGGTCATGTACTACTTTAACAACCCTTTCAAAAATATATGTGCAATTGATTTACATCGTCTGGAAAAGGAGTCTAATTAGTACGGCTTCTTTAAAATGTAAAGTTAGCCTCGAGTTACAACATTAGCTGAAAATTACTCATCATGACTTTCAATTATTTTATGACTGCTAAACTATTGCTCTCATAAACTGATAGACTTTAAGGTCAGAAGAGACCATCAGAACCATCTAGTCAGACCTGCACATAGCAGGCCACAGAACCTCACCCATCCACTCCTGTAATAGACCCCTGATCTCTGGCTGAGTTACTGAAGTCCTTAAATCAGGATTTAAAGACTTCAAGATACAGAGAATCCACCATGTTAATATTTCTACATTTTTTTGAGAACCTTTCTTCTACATTTTGGGCCGTGTCTGTCTCCTGTTGAAGTCTTTCCTCTGACTTCAACATCAGCTTTGCTGGACTTTAGAGAACTAGATTTTCAGTTGGTATAAATTGGCATTGCTTCATTAATTTCCCATTACTATCCCAAAACATCTATAAAGGCATACATAAATAAACCATCAGTAGTCTCAGTTTGGCCAAATAGATCTCAGTATACCTATTGTTGGTGGTTTTTGGCCAGGGTGCTGTGGAGCATACTTGTGATCATATTTGGGGTTGGGGTGGGATGACAGGCCAGAAAAAACTTTGCTTCCATTTCCACCTCTCCCTGGAAGGACTGGGGCACAGATTAGGCATGAAGAGCAGGGAATCCTTGCTTCTCTCACTCAAAGGATCCAGAGAGGTGAATGCCAGTGCAAACACAGAAGGAGGAGAAAGAAATTACAATGGAAACACACAAATATTTTAGGCCACAGACTGAATTAACCACTGCTAGGAAATAACTGCCTTTGACCTGCAACAAGGGAATGCCCCTTTTACAGGAACTCAGTGTTATTCAATGGAATTTGCCTTGCAGGGCAGACAACCCGCAGCTGAACTTGTGGCTCTTTAAAATCCCAGCTCAGGCAGCTGCTTATTCTCTCAGTTGTTGCTGCCTTAGGTGAGCACAGCCCATGCTGTGGGCTGATATAGGCCACAGCCCTACCTCTTCCTTATGAGGAAAAAAGTTACATACAATATGAGTTGAAAAAATAGTATTATTGAAATAATGTAACATATTATTAACATTAGATTATTTGTCCAGTTCTAGAGTGTATCCTCTGACTACACACAAACATATCTATACTCACACTGGAGATCTAGGCATCAATTCATTTTACAGAGGAAATGCATCCAATGTTTGCTTTTTTCTCTATCCCATAACTGTAGGCTGTTTATAACAACTTGCTTTGTATGAAGAAGGACTTTGAACTCTTCTACTCTCGCCCTTTTTTCTGGTGTCTGTGAGCTTAGATCCGATCTTTTCATTCCTTTACTGTGTACTGTTGATGTTCAGCAACAGCAGTAGTTGCTATGACAACCAAAAACTCCACCCAGTTCAGAAAACGATATTTTGAGGGGGTATTTCTCTGCTTACAAATGTACATCTGACACAAGAAACGAGGCAAGCGTGATCAAAATAACCAAATCTAAGTCTCTTTCAATCACTTTTATTCTTTGCATTTTCCAAAGCTTTATATGGTTCACTGCTTTGCATTGTTCAAAGGGGATCTTTCGCAACAGCGCAAACCTGGAAGAAACCTTTGTATATAATAATAAATTAACATGGACAATAATTATTTTTATTCCCATTGCCATTATTGGACCAGACCCTGAATAGGAATCCCAGAAGTTGGAAAAGGGGGAAAGGATCATTCTGTCCTTCTCCATTTTAGGCAATGTCTGCCCTGCAGCTGGGGATATAATTTCCAGCTCGGGTCGACATACCCGTGCTAGCTGCAAGAGAGCTAGCATGCTACAAAGAGTTGCAAAGCCTTGGCTACACGAGTGGTGATACAAACTCGCTATTTTGAGTACAATTCCACTTGACGCCTTGGGAATGTACCTGGGTGGCTAGCCTGTTCCACTGCTCATGTAGGTGCAGCCACCCTCCTATTTTAGCATACTAGCTTGATCAGAGCTAGCGTGGGTACGTCTACCCACACTGGACATAACGCCTCCTAGCTGCGGTGCAGCCACACCCGCAGCAAGGACTTTCCCCGACGGTACATTTTCTAGTGTATTGCTCCGCCTCATTTTTAAAGACTCGGGCAAAAGGGAGAGAAATTTAGCTGCCTTTTGGTGGCTGCGCAATCCCTCTGAATGGCTTGGTTTTCTAAGAATTTGATTACTGTTGAAAATTATTTGGGGAATGATTTATATCATGGCAGCTTGTTCACCCTGACAATTGTTTGCAGTTCTCATTATCTGTAATTTGCTATTTGTGCTGTGTGATTGGTCACTTAAGTCACATAGGAATAGTCCAGCTCCTTGATGGGAGGACATCCAAACCCATGTGTGAAACGGCTGTGCAAATACTCTGGCAAATAAATGATTGCATGGTTATTTGCATCACACTTTCATATGAATAGTAATAGAAAGTAAATAAAAGGAGTTCTGAATGCAATTGCAGTGAATACATAATTTTATTTGCATCAATGTTCTTTAATATTTTCTGCAGTATTTTTTCAGCCCTTACCATAGGTGTTTTTCAGCATCCCTGCTCTACAGGTATCTCTCCTTTACTCCAAGACTGTGAGATTGGACTTAGCACAAGCTGGCATTTTCCCAAGATAAACCTCCTTTAATTATTTTATGTCCTTGTTTTTAATCCCTACAAATAAAGGCCCCACATAATCTAAGGCAAAGTGGAAGTAAATTCTGCTGTCATTTCCTGGATTCTGTGGCAATCTGGGGCAACAGACTGGAAATTCTGCAAAAGCTTCATTTAATATGCAGGTTTCAAATAATTAAATATTGAAATGTGCAATACACTTAGGAGTATAGCTGCTGTGTTATGTGTTTAATAGTTAATTTTATGCTATCCCATATTATCAGTGAACTGAAGAAGTTTGTATAAATGACAAGTTACTGTATTGTGGAAAGAAAAGGAGTACTTGTGGCACCTTAGAGACTAACCAATTTATCTGAGCATAAGCTTTCGTGAGCTACAGCTCACTTCATCAGATGCATACTATTGTGGAAGTTGAACCTGGAGATTTTTGGCAGCTGGGATGGAAGAAGCTGGGGCTTTTGGCACCTGCAGAGGAGCGGGAGGAAGTTTGGGATTTTGGGATAAGGGCATTAGAGATTCCTCGTGAAACAGATAACTATGCTGACATTTAAATGGTCATTTTTGGATTTCAGACTTAACCCAGAGAAGAGAATGGGAGAGTTTACATCTCTCAGAGCTGTCATTTCAGGCAATCGTCAAACTTAGGCTGAGATTACTACATCAGCTGCACCTGGTTCACATTTTCAAAGGTTTCCCCCCTCCCCCCACCGTAATGATGTTACCAAAAAAATTAGATTCTGGAGCACACCGCTTGCAGCAAAGGGTGGATTTGGGAACAAATTCTGCAACTGTGGAATTGCAGAAGGGCTCTGGCTATAGGTCTCTGTTTCTGTATTCTCACTTGTGTTCACAGTTTCTCCCAATTTATTACCATCAGCGAATTTTATTAGCATGCTGCTTACTCCTTTTACAGATCATTAATGAAGACTTTAAATAAACCCAGTCCCTGCAGTGAGCCACTAGGCACCTCCCCTTAGCTTGAAACACTGTCATTTATTATTACCCTTTCTTTGCAGTCTTTTAGCAAATTTTTAATCCACATGACCTTGTTTTTATGTAAGCCAATTTGAATTATCTTTTCAGTTAAAATTTTGTGAGGCACAGCACTGATGCTTCATTAACATCCAAATACATTAACTACTGCCCTTAATCCACTAATTCTGTCCAAAAAAAGGAGTCTGATCAAAAAAAGATTTGTTCTTATAAACCCATGTGGCTTATTGCTGAGTTTTCTCAGTCTTCTTACCTTTACCCCCAGCTTTAAGCCTTTTGAGGGGGCATGTGGACTTCCAGTGTGAGCTATTCCCTTCTTGTAGCTCAGTGAAGGGAAGGTTTCCAGTCTTCATGGGGCTTTCTTCTTTCTCACGAGGCCCTGTTTGAAGAAGGGGAATAAGATTTCAATTCAACATTGTAAAAGCACCAACTAGCATGTGATTAAATGAATATCAGTGGGTGTTAGTTATAAAGGACAACTGTAATGTATGGGACATTGGAACAGATCCCTGGTTGGCTAGCACTAAAGGAAAGCATTTTTAAAGCTAAAAGGGCATTAGTTCTGAACCTTTTCAGAAAGGGGATTACTTAGATTACTGCTTATCCTATTGTGTTTCAGTTTGTACTGAGTGAACACATGGTAACCCTTTGATATTGGCTATAACTTTTTATGTGCAGCAACAACTTAAATAAAAGATTTTGGGAAAACATAGTTAAAGTATTGAATGTAAAGCAGTAATTAAAGGCAATGGCCGTGATTTTCAAAAGTGACCTGTGATTTGGGGGCACAATATGAAATACATTAAAAGGGCTTAATTTTCACTAAGAACTGAGCACTCATCCAACAGCACTCTGCAAATCAGGCCCCTTTAAAGTGTCTCAAATGGACACCCACAAATTGATGAATCCAGAATCACTAGCTACTCATGAAAATCTTGTTCAACATGTCTGAGAGAAAAAATTCCTAGAGCTAGCGTAAAAACTCCCAACTTCCACAGAATCACATGCCAGAGAGAAACAACGTTATTCACTCCCACCTCTATACAAGTAGATAGGGAATAAAAAGCTCGAAATAAAGCTCTCATAAATGGCTCCTTTGTTAGCACAGAGTGTGTAGGAGCCTCTCTAATACAAGGGATTCTCTACCGCTTGAATAGTATTGTACAGTACAATGAAAGATTCATGCAAAACACAGTGTCTGAATCTCTCTAAATACTACATTATGCAGTTTGTTGTTGGAAACTGTGCCCCTTGGTATTTCATTTGTAGGACATATTGTTCCATGAACCACGTTAGCCTTTAAATTGTTGCTCTTCCTAGGGGAGGAAATTAAATAATAGCGCAGCTTTCATTCCCGTGAGCATTTGCTAGAAATAAACAAGTGGCTGCCAGTCTCAGAACAGAACCATGCTCAAGTATTTTCGACAGAGACCAGGAAAGAGGAGACTTCAAAACAGGGTTTTCTAAAATGCCTACCTGTACAAAAACAGAAGGGGGAAATTTGACTTGGGAAGCACTCCAGCACATACTGCACTCTATGTTGGTGTATTAATTTTTGTCACTTTGTTAAGAGGTTACTGAATTTTACATCTTCTAATTAACTACTGTTCCACTACAAACATCTTGATGGCTATATATACACATCTGTTAAAGTAACGAAGTATCTAGCTTTATCAGACTTGTTGCTTAGTCATATCTTGTAACTGTTTGGTATCTATAAGGGGTGCTGACTTTTGAGTAACGTTCACAAGGATCCAGAGGCAAATTCAGAAATGGAACTGTCTCTCTTTAGGAGAGATTAATTCACCTACAGTATGCAGCTGAGATGGAGTTATCTGTAAGCATCCTAAAGAAATATACCCCCAGCAGAATATTGATTGGCAATACGTTAAACTAGTAAAATATGGGATAGAGACATTTCATCAACAGAATACTATCGTTATCTGAACAAACCTTGGAGTCAACCCTACTGAAGTATTGTCTCAGAGCTGAGCACTTTGATGGTAGTACCTTAACATGGGGTGGGGGATGTCACACTCATATATATTGGGGGTGGGGGTAGTAGAACAGACAGAGAACCATCCAGGTTAAAAATCCAAATGGCACAGAATCCAAGAAATACTCCTGCGATTCTCTTTAAAAACAACAAACAGGAAGGGGTAAGATAACAGCAGCCTTTCACAAGGATTGCAAAAATAACTACAGCTACTGTATTTTAAAAAGCAGTGAGTGACTAAAGATAAGTAATTGTTGGGCTGTGTGCTTTAAGGACCACGTTCCTGTGTTTGAAAGGTCTGTGTGGGTGCTGAGTGAACAGCAGAGATGGTTACCCACTCTTGATAATTAGATGGGGTGGCGGGGGGAGATAGCCATAAAGACCTGTGACTAAGGAAACGATGCAAAGAGCAAACAGGCAGAGAAGCAAACTGGGGAGTTCAGAAGGAGATGTGAGATGCAGAAGTGCCTGGATGTATACGAGTTCCATCAGAGGTGAAGAGATTCTTAGAGGTAAAAACGTCAGTGGGATACAGAATGGTCATCAAAGGATCCAATGAAGTTCTATGTGTGTAGAGGTGATAGGAAAATTGGTTTTCTCCCTGCCAAAAATGTAGACTTTTGGCAAAAAAAATCAAAACCAGAAAATTTTCAGCCCCAAACTTTGAGTCAGAAAT